CACAGCCTCGACGAGCGCGATCGCCGGCCGTGGCCTTGCCGCCATCGCCGAAGCAGAGCGGGAAGCACCGCCTGAAGAAGGGCTGTCTCACTTGGAGCTCGAGACAGCCACGCACATCGTTTTCGGAACAGAGGAAGCTCCCCTCCCAGGACCTGCATCACAACATCTTCACGGAATGCTGCGCGGCGTTGGCGTCGGGACCTTCGATGTGGAAGGAAATCCGCGACCCTACACGCAGGAGAAATTCCTGGAGATCTACGCTCATCAGCGCGACTCTACGAAGAAGCTCACCGTCGCACAAGAGGAGGAACTGGCGCGCCGCGAAGCGGAAGAACTTCGCCAACGGAGCCTTGCGGAGTCACGCGGAACATTCGCCTGGAGCGGATGGGGCGAAGAAGAGAGCGCCTCCAATGAAGGGGGGTGGGGAAGCGCTGGCGGATGGGGCACGAGCGACACTAACGGCGATACCGGCGGATGGGGAGCCGCAACCGGCGGCGCCACTGGCGGATGGGGAGCAGTCACCGGCGGCAACACCGGCGGATGGGGAGCCGCATCTGGCGGCGAAACAAGCGGCTGGGGAGCCTTCCGCGAGGACCAAAGGGGGGAAGGAGAAGAAATTGAGGAGGCCATTGAGGCCGAACCTGCTGTTGTTCCTCTTGGTCGTCCTCCGTGCCGCCCTGCACCCGCACTGCCCCCACCTGACATCCTGCCACGAAGTGACCCTTGGGACACCATCGACTGGGGGAACGAGCCGTCAACCCCGCGACGCACCGTCTATGGGCCTGCCCCCGAGCCGCGCGAACCAACCTTCTTCCCGGGAACCATCCCTGGAACCAATATTCCCCTCTCCATCATTCTTGACAGGGAATTCCTTGCGCTAATGTTAACGACGGCGAACGGAGAAGAAGAAGCAGAAGAAGCAGGGGCGACACCTGCTCAAGCACCTGATGAGGATCCCGCAGAAGCACTCGCGCGCTACATGCGCACCTCCGGATTCCGCGCTGACGATGTCATCTGGCACCAGCGCCTAGGTCACCCCTCGCGCGTGACTCTGAAGAACTGCATCGAGGCCGGCGTATTCGCGCCTGGCGCACTCCTGCGCCCTGATGGCACCGAAGTAAGGGGCGCGACACATCCGCGCAACTGCACCGTCTGCCCCTAAGCCGCGCTGAGCCACCAGCCGTTCCCCCTGCTAGAGCCCGGAACCAACCGCTACACCAAACTGGAGAAGGTGTACAGCGACTTCCTCAACGTGGGACACTGTGGCATCAACGGCGAACTCTACACGCTCACCTTCGTCGACGCCGGAACGCGCTACGTGTGGGTCGTAAATGTGGAAGCACGCAGCAGAGCATATGAAGCATTCCGCCTGTGGCTGGCGCACGCGCATCGGCAATCTGGGGAGAAGTTAAAGATCTGGCAGTCCGACGGCGCGGCGGAGTTCAGGAGTAAGGAGCTGCAGGATTACCTCGCGCAGAAGGGGATCGAGCACCACATCTCTCTCCCCTACGCACACCAGCAACAGGGTGTAGCCGAGCGCACGAATCGCACCCTCATGACGAAGGTGCGGGCGTTAATGAGGCAGTCGAAGCTTCCGCCGACCTACTGGACCTACGCAATGCACCACGCCGTGCGGGTGCACAATCTGCTTTCAACCACCGCAATCTCCGGCAACTCCTCACCGCATGTGAAGTGGATGGGGAGGGAGGGCGACACATCCATGCTCCGCGTGTGGGGATGCATGGTGCAGTACCGGCCGCCGACATCAACTATCGGGAAGTTTGCAAGCCGCGCGCGCTGGGGGATCCACCTCGGCATCAGCCACGAGCACAAGGCATGGCTCATTCTGGACCTCTTGAGCCAGAAAATCAAGAATGCGCGCGATGTCATCTTCTACGAGCGGCTCTTCCTTCGGCAATTCCGCGAAGACGAGCAGGCGAACGCAAACCGCGTCTACGCCAACGACGGCCACAACTACGCCTCACCTGAGGACGAAGCCGCAGCAGCAATTCTGGAGCAGGACCCCAGAGGCGAGTTCACGAGAGGCGATCGCAACGACGACGACGACGACGACGACAACGATTCTCCTGGAGGAGGAGCAGGCGCAGCAGGCAGAAGAGGAAGCGGAAGCAGAGGCGGAAGCGGCGGAGGCGCAGCACCACCACCAGCACCACCTGAACCAGAAAGCGACGATGACGATGTGCAGGAAGTCATCCCGCAGCACCGCCACGACAGCACCATCTCTGGAATTCAACTTCTCGGGCTCCACACCGCCACCTCAACGGCGCCACGTGTTATCGAGCCGAAGAATCCTCGCCAAGCACTCACAGGACCACACATCAAGGAATGGCGCGAGGCGATGGATGCGGAAATCAAGGCACTTGAGTCCCGCGATACCTGGGTGCTCGTCGATCGAGCGGCAATCAAGGGGAGAAGGATTCTCTCCGGGAAATGGGTCTTCCGCGTGAAGACCGCAGCTGACAGCATGATTGAGCGATTCAAGGCGCGCTAGGTAGTGCGTGGCTACGATCAGAGGCACGGCATTGACTTCGACCAGACATTTGCACCGGTCAGCCGCCACACCTCCGTCAGGATTCGCCTCGCCATCGCTGCAGCACGACACCTCCCGCTCCGACAAATCGACGTGAAGAACGCGTTCCTGTACGCGTTAGTAGATGCAGTGATCTACGTGGAGCAGCCGCACACATACGGCGAAGGGGACTCGCGTGTCTGCCAACAGAGAAAGTCCCTTTACGGGATCAAACAGGCGCCGAGACTCTGGCAGCAGTACCTGCACAACATATCACTTGAAATTGGGTTCAAGCAGCTGCCTCACGATCCTGGGATGTATCGCCGTGATTTCCGCGGCAAATACATCCTACTCACGGTCTACGTCGACGACTTCCTCTACACAGGGTCAAGCAACGAGTTGCTTGAGCAATTCAAGAAAAACCTCGCAGGGCGCGTCGACATCACCTGCAATCATGACGTGAAGCAGTTTCTCGGGCTGAACATCACCTACTCGCCGGAAGCCATTCATCTCTCTGCAGCCAAGTACGCAAAAGAGCTTAGCAAGCGCTTCAACATTGCGCCTGCACCACTCTCCACCCCTTACCGCACTCCAGAACCCAACCACAAGCCTGACAACAAAGCCTTGTCCCCTGCTGGGCTTCACACCTACCAGCAGCAGTTGGGATGCCTGCTCTTTGCATCTGTTACCTGCAGGCCCGACCTCTCCTACATCGCGAGCCAGTTGGCTCAGTACTCTCGCAAACCAACGGCTGAGAATCTGCTAGATCTCCAGCGGGCACTTCAGTTCTTCATCTCCACGCCCAATGTTGGGCTCTGCTACTCCACCATCCCAACCTCGTCCTTCAACCTCACCGGCTACGTGGACGCTGATCATGCCGCTGACCCCGACAATCGACGGTCCAGGACAGGCTTCCTTTTCCGCCTCGAGCCCAGCGGCCCCATCTCCTGGAATTCACAGAAGCAGGAGCTGGTTGCCCTGTCATCAGCGGGGGCTGAATTCATCGCAGCAATAGCAGCCGTTCGCGAAGGCCTCTACCTTCAGGAGCTGCTGCAGGAGGCGAAAATTCCAGCCTCGGCAAACTTTCGCCTGCACTGCGACAATCAGAGCGCGATCAGGATCACGAACAAGCCAGGATTCGTCAACCGCACCAAACACATCGCGCTGCGGTACTTCTTCGTCAAGGACGAAGTTGACAAGGGCAAGGTTGACCTAACCTACTGCCCGACGGGTGACATGGCAGCTGACTTCCTCACGAAGAAGCTGTCATGTCAGCAGTACCAACACTGCTCCGAACTCAGTGGAGTAGTCAAGCGGGTCAAGACTCGTTACGGCCAGTAGTGAAGGGGGGTGTTACGAATAGTAACTATTGAAACATTACTGTGCACTCCTCACCGCAGCAAGCGAAGCACGCACTACCGAGGTTGAAGGCGAAAGGGCGGAAGTGACGCGAAGGGTCACACGGTTACGAAAGCATCTGGACCGTCGGGCAGACAGCATCAGGCAGCAGCAGTGGTGAGGATTCTGCCCGAACAGTTTCGTAACTGTATGGAGTCGCACGGTTGAGTTTCGCTGTAATAAGGGAATGTACCCCTTAGAATACATGGCTAGCTAGGTCGATTGGTATTCCCTTGTAATCTTATTTATAGTGCTGTATTTGCATGTTTTTATTATCTCAAGCATTTACATTCACTCTGCTATTGAGGTCACGGGCCCACCACCACTACTCAGTTGTGTGCGAACCTTCCTGAGGTGATCCTAGGCACGATCAACTTTTGATCGCAACATCATGCTCCAACCTAGGATAAGACAGCCTCTCCTGCACGTGCCCATTCTCCAATATTCGACACATCCATTGTTAAATTGTCACACACGACTCGACTACATAGCGTGCCATGCAATAAACATGGCATCCTTCATGTATCCAGCATGCTCGCATGCAGCAAACATCGCTGCGGCTGCTTGCATCGCCAGGAATTTGAGGCGCCATTTTTTTTTTGCCTAATCTTGAAGTAGGACAGTGTGCATTGTGCAGTGCTGCAGTCGTCACAGCATCCCCACATCCCTAACAGTAGACCCACGTAGCAGACGTTTCTGCAGCTGCATGCTTCGCCACCAGGTATTCTAGTTGCCTCAAAACTTGCAGTGTGCAGCACTGCAGTCGTCATGGCATCCTCACATACCCAGCAGCAGCACGTGCGCATGCACCAGATGTTGCACGCACAGCTGCTCACGCCAGACAGGTACCCAGGCTTGTGCGGTACTTCCAAAAACGTCGCAACAAGAAGTAGGAGAAGCTGTCACGGCATCCTCACATACCCAGTAGCAGCAAGCCCACATGCACCAGACGCTGCAGCCGAACTGTAAGCGTCGACGGGCTTGCTCGTTGCCACACCCACCTTCTGCTGCTTCTGAACTTCCCCTTGTAAAGCCAGCTCTCGCATCCCTTTTGCCAGCAGACCCACCACCACTACTCCTCCTCCTCCTCCTCCTCCTCCTCCTCTTTCTCCTCCTCCTCCTCCGCCTAGCAGGGCGCTCCTGCGTTGCTGGTGGAGACAAAGGGCACGACAAGGGGTCCTGAACGGCCCTTGATCTGGTGTTAGTGGTGGATTGACTGACATGGGAGCTGCTGGCGCATTTTGCACAACGGAGCTGAACAAAGCAGCAGCAGCAACAGCAGGAGCTTCAGCAGGAGTTGCAACAGTTGCACCTGCACCAGCAGCTGCAGCCGCCACAAGAGTAGGACAAGCAGGGCCATCAGCAGCAGCAATAGCAGCAGCAGCAGCAGCAGCAGCAGCAGCAGCAGCAGCAGCAGCAGCAGCAGCAGCAGCAGCAGCAGCAGCAGCAGCAGCAGAAGCAGCAGCAGCAGCAGCAGCAGCAGCAACAGCAGCAGCAGCAGCAGCAACAGCAGCAGCAGCAGCAGCAGCAGCAGCAGAAGCAGCAGCAACAGCAGCAGCAGCAGCAGCAGCAGCAGCTATTCCATCTCCCAAACGATCCGCAGAGACGGCAACACGCCGGGAGTAAGCAGCAGTCCACTTGGCAGCCATGTATTGGTGCCGGCGCCACGGCGGCACGTGCATTCCCTGTTCATGCATCGACAGCCACACCGCCTCGCACAAAACTTTCACCAGCTGGTGCAGCCGGTCTGGGCAGCCCACAAAAAAAAGTGGGGTCAGCTGGAGGATGTAGTCGTAGTGCGGTGTGGGATGGGCGATTTGGAATTGTGCCCGGAAATCGGGGTCGATTATTAAACGGCTGGGCAGGCGGTTGGGGGAGGATGGTTGAAGAATGACATCACAGTAGTCATGGCAGCCTGTGATCAGGGGAAGAAAGAAGGGGAGGCAGGGAGGGGAGAGGGCGGGGGGAGGGGAGAGGTGAGGTGAGGTGAGGAGAATAGAGGAGGGGGAGACGAGGATGATAGGGCGGAAAGATCAAAGGGAAGGTTTCAGAGCACAAAAACTGGGATACAGTCCAGGATGGGTGAAAGGGAGGGGGTGGGGGGGGGTTGGAGGGGAGAGAAAGGAAAGTGGGGAAGGAGGGATGGAAGACGCGGATGATCTAAGAGAGATGAGAGTGATGCATGGAATGACGAGTGAAGATGTATGCAGGACAAGGCACGAGCGGAAAGGGAAGGGGAAGCAGCAGGAAGTCAAGACAAGAGTGCAGCAAGTGAGATAGAGCCCAGTTCCTGGCGAATAATCCACATCTAATATAATATCATTTTGAATCGCACATACAAGAGAAGAACAGGAAAAAACAAAATAAAACAAACAAAAACAACTGCAGAGCAACGGCAAGACTCTGGCATGGAAAATCTCTCACCCTAAGAGTACACTGAATTTGATTCACACTAGGCGTGGTACAATGACTCAACTCACCAGTCACTGCAGCTTTGCTCTTACCGTGAGGGAAGCCATTGAAGCACTTCCAGTGAGCATGGCACACTGAAGCATCGTACCCCCTCGCCTGCAACTTTTGCACCACCATGTTGTGTATGCTACTGCTGCTGCTGCTACTGCTGCTGCTGCTGCTGCTGCTGCTGCTGCTGCTGCTGCTGCTGCTGCTGCTGCTGCTGCTGGAAGCATTGCTGCTGCTGGTGGTATCGCTGCTGCTGCTGGTATAACTGATGCTGTTGCCCGTGCTGCTGATGGTGCTGCTGTAGGTGCTGCTTCTGCTAACGTCAACAGATGTGGTGTGTGCGCACTTCATGGCAGCAGAAACTATCTCAAGCACTGCATACTCCTCTGGCGTCTCACAACAGCTGAGGGCCTGCTACAGGGAAGAGTGGAGGCGGGAAGGGGAAAAGGGGCGCGGAAAGAGGGTAGGGGGAAGGGAAAACGGGAAGGGGGGAAGTGGGGAGTGGGGGCGGGTGGGGAAATGATGCACGAACAGGGAAGTACACGAGCAAACGGATGCGGTACGGGACAGGTGAGGTGGTGTGAGCGTGCTTCATGGCAGCAGAGATGGTCTCAAGCATTGCATACTCCTCTGGCGTCTCACAACAGCTGAGGGTCTGCTGGGTGGAAATCGACAGTGATGAGGTGGGGAAAGGAGTGGGGGATGAATAGGAAATACGCACGAACAAACGCACACAAAAAGAGGCAAACGAGACAGACGCATGGACAAGAAGGAAAATAGGAAACGAGGTGAGCAATCAAAGGGAACGCGGAACATGGGTGGTTGCGTGCCGAGACATCTCAAATGCAGAGCAGAACGAGAAAGAAAGAGCAAAAAAAAAAAGAACAACAAAAAAATAGCAAGACTGGGCTTTTGCTATTTCTCCCGGTATGGCTCCTTCGCCTTTTCCAGCTACAATTGCGAGCCTACACCCTCAGGCTTGCACCCTCAACCTTGCACCCTCCACCGTAAGGCTTCAAATCTGACTGACCTCGACCAATGAAGCAAGGCGTTCAAGGCTGTCCGATGCTCCAAATGCCCGAGACTCTGTAACCCGTCGTCCATAGGGATGGTTACGCGCGCTCGCAACCGCTGCTTCTGCCGCTTCTCTTGCTCCTGCTGCTGCTCCTGCTGCTCCTGCTGCTCCTCCTTTCCCTGTTGCCGCCTTCCACGTCTGCCAGGTCCCGCAACACCCGCGGTCGTCATCGCCAGTAGCGTCGCAGGCGACGTCACAAGGAACGTCACATGCATCGCAGGGATCGCAGGCGTCGCACTCGTTCTCGAGATAGTCGCACACCATTTCGCCAAGGCAGAGGGAGCCGCACGAGGTGCCGCTGCTGCTGCCATGGGTCGAACTGTAACAGCAAGGAACAAGAAATTGTCCATCTAGGAGTTTCAGAAAGCGGCAGAATCTACTAGGCGAAAGAGGAGAAGGGAGAACGAGATATGGGAGAAGGGATAACGAGAGAAGGGAGAAGGGAGAACGAGAGAAGGGAGAAGGGAGAACGAGAGAAGGGAGAGCGAGAGAAGGGAGAAGGGAGAACGAGAGAAGGGAGAAGGGAGAACGAGAGAAGGGAGAAGGGGGAACGAGAGAAGCGAGAAGGCGAGAAGACAACGGTCGCAGCCAGTGCATGGCCATAGTGGTAACCAGCCGAGGAAGATTCGGCAAAATCAATCCGCGAATCCGGCGATCTGGATTGAATGGCCTGCTGCAACGGTCGGATTTCACTGACTGACCTGTTGCGACTGCGGTCGGGCTTCTTGCAAGGAGCGTGGTTCACGCGGCAAATCAAGTGACGGCCGACGTTGCTGCTGCCACCTCTACCACGGCCGGCGACGCCGCTGATTAATGTGGAATGGCACCTTGCGCTGATGCCTGACGCTTCGCCGGTCGGCGCAACAACGACGGTCGACTCGCGAATGGCGGTCGTTCTCGACTCAGCGAAAACGGATTCCATTGATCGAGGCTGGGTGGTGGAGGCAGCGGCAGCGGCGGTGGAGGCAGCGGCAGCGGTGGTGGAGGTGGCGGCGGCGGTGGTGCTGGTCGAGGTGGAGCCACGCAGCGTGGAGGCTTTGGTGGTAGCCAGCGCCAGCAGCAGCCGCGTTCCCGTGAGACCCCGTCGGCCCAGCAGCTTCGTGAGTGGTGCGCTGGGCGTGGGAGGTCTGGGGGTGCTGGTCCCTGTACTTACGTTCTTCGCACCGGCGGGCGCCGTGGGGAGACGTGCGGGCTGCCACACACTACGCAGCGCTGCTTCGGTTGCCTGACTGACGCCTGGCGCGCCCAGTTTCCTGACGCTGTTGAGCTCCCTCGCTGGGGTGATCTACAAAAGCAGAATGTTGCTATCTTTGATCTTGATTTCGATGCTATCCTTGCTGCCATGTATGATGTGACGGATAGTGCTGAGGCTGACGGTTACCTGTGTGTTCCGCCCGACCCAAACATTGAGGCTGCTGCTCTAGGTGCTAGTGAGTCTGCTGCTCCAGGTACTAGTGAGTCTGCTGCTCCAGGTACTAGTGAGTCTGCTGCTCCAGGTGCTGGTGAGTCTGCTCTCTCTGGTACTGCACCTACTGAGGCTTTGCACACTTTCACACTTGACTCTGGTGCTGTCTCTGCTGTTTCTGGAGGCGCTGCACGGCCGCGGCCGTACTACGTTCCGCTCCTTCAGCAGGTTCTTGGCCTCCCGCCTTCTACTGGTCCTACTCCTCCCTTACTGAGTCCACCGCCTGTCCAGTCACAGTTGCAGTTACAGCCAGCCTCTCCACTTCCTGGTCCTTCTCCTCACTCTGGACCGACTAGAGGTCTTACGGAGCGTCGTGAGCCTGAGTCTCGTCATGCGTCGCCTGATTCTCGTCCTGCGTCACCTGAGTCTTGTCCTGAGTTGCCTGTTCGCGCTGTCCGCACTGGTCGTCGTGTTCCGCGTCAGCGTCCTCCTCCTGTCCCCGGCACTCACTATATGACTCTGCGTCCTTCCACTGCTCCACAGCGTGTCCCTCTGCCGTCTCCTCCTGCGTCCTCTCTTCCTGACGGTCCGGACCCGGAGTCTGACTCCCTTCGTGCTGCTAGTCCTACTGTCACGTGTTTCCTGGCCACTGTTGTCACTGACCCTTCGTTTGAGTCCACTGCTGCGTCTGCTCTATTTGCTGAGCTTGTTGGCTTTGCTTCCGCCTGTCGTCTAGACTACGCCGCTAGCCTTGTTGCTGAGTCTGAGTCTGCGTCTCTCTGTCCTCCGTCCGTCGGGGGTGAGTGTGCTCTTGGCACGGACGTCCTTGAGGACAGACAGGAGGAGTTTGAGTGCTTTGCCGCTGCTTTACCTCATCTCGTGTCCATGCTGCTTGCCCCTGAGGGAGACCCTGATGCACCAGACATCCCGACTCCGCGCTCTTACGCAGAGGCAATAGAGGGTCCCTACTCCTCTCAGTGGCAGACAGCCATGGACACAGAGATGGATTCCTGGAAGTCCACAGGCACCTACGTTGACGAGGTTCCCCCGCCTGGGGCGAACATCGTCAGTGGCATGTGGATTTTCAGGGTGAAGCGGCCGCCAGGTTCTCCGCCTGTCTTCAAGGCGCGTTACGTTGCACGAGGCTTCAGTCAGCGACAGGGAGTTGACTTCTTCCATACCTTCTCCCCTACCCCGAAGATGACCACTCTTCGGGTTCTGCTGCACGTCGCCGCTCAGCGTGACTACGAGCTTCACTCTCTTGACTTCAGCACTGCTTTCCTACAGGGCAGCCTGCACGAGGAGATCTGGCTGCGCCGCCCACCTGGCTTCACTGGGTCGTTTCCTGCTGGTACCCAGTGGAGCCTCCGGCGGCCAGTCTACGGTCTCCGCCAAGCACCCCGTGAGTGGCACGACACACTGAGGACGACTCTTGCTGCTCTTGGGTTTGCTCCTTCTACTGCTGACCCGTCGCTGTTTCTACGCACCGACACCACGCTGCCGCCGTTCTACGTTCTCGTGTACGTAGACGACTTGGTCTTTGCTACTGCTGACATTGAGGGACTCGCCCACGTGAAGTCGGAGCTGCAGAAGAGACACACGTGCACAGATTTGGGTGAGCTGACAAGCTATCTTGGCTTGCAGATCACCCGGGACAGAGCACAGCGCACCATTACCTTGACTCAGTCATACATGGTGCAGCAGGTCCTTCAGCGCTTCCGCTTCACGTACTCCTCGCCACAGTCCACTCCTCTGCCTACCGGTCACTCGCTCTCAGCTCCACCTTCGGACGAGTCCGTAGAGCCGAGTGGCCCGTATCCATAGCTTGTGGGCTGCCTCATGTACCTGATGACCTGCACTCGACCTGACCTAGCCTACCCTCTTAGCATTCTAGCACGCTATGTCGCTCCTGGCCGACACAGGAAGGAGCACATGGATGCCGCTAAGAGGGTGTTGCGCTACTTGTGCAGTACGTCGGGCATGGGGCTCGTGCTTGGAGGGCGGGCTCGAGTTGTCCTCACTGGTCACGCAGACGCTTCCTGGGCTGACGACTTGGCTACGCAGCGGTCGTCACAGGGTTACACCTTCAGCCTTGGCTCCGGCTCTGTTTCTTGGCGGTCTACCCGCTCGTCTTCTGTTCTCAGCTCCAGTTGTGAGGCTGAGATCTACGCAGGGGCCATGGCTGCACAGGAGTTACGCTGGCTCACCTACCTGCTGACCGACCTGGGAGAGGCGCCTCGTTCTCCTCCAGTGCTGTACGTCGACAACAAGGCCATGATTGCCTTGTGTCAGGAGCACAGACTGGAGCACAGAACGATGCACATCGCTCTGCGCTACTTCCTTGCTCGAGAGTTGCAGCAGCGTGGTCAGCTTCGTCTTGCTTACGTGGCCACTCGGGCCAACACTGCTGATGTCTTCACCAAGGCGCTTCAGCCTTGTGATCATCAGCGTTTCTGTACTGTTCTAGGCCTTGTGCCTACTGTGCCTCACTTGCTTACTTCTTGACTCTGCTTGTACTGTGATCTCTATACATGTACCTGCATGCTTGCACTTGCTAGGTTGTGATCACTGTATTGCTTGTTCTCCTTTATATAACTCTGCATGTGAACTGGCCTTGTGGCCATTTGCTTGTGCTCAGACTGCGTTGTGACGTCGTGATCCACCCTGATCTTGCTTTGCCTTTCTTGACCGGTCTTGTGACCTCTTGTTCTCCCCCACTTTGCCTATGGGGGTGTGTCAAACTTATATGCTATGGTCTGTGTAGGCTGTAGTGGGGTAGTTCATATAGGGTACAACACTTTTAGGTTTCCTACTTGTACCCACCTGTTTGCTAGTTCAGTCATTCGTTCCTTCACTATTCTGACAATTCATGCCAATGCTGCCTGCTGCGCAACCCCGATAGGCCGCTTTGCTGTACCAACGCGACAGTGCGGGGCCTCGCGGGGAAAACCTTGATTTCCCGCCCGTGATTGACAGTGTTACCAGTAATCCTACAGGCTGGCGGAAATCCCTGCATTGCCGGATTCAGTTTGCACCCCCGATACAAGGCTGAGGGCTCAGCCTACACTCATAAAACTAGGCTGAAATTTCAGCCAAGTCATAAAAACAAACTCTGAAAAATCAGACAAGGTACATAAAAAAAAACTTTGAGTTCAGCCTAGGTAAAAAAAAAAAAGCCTGAACGAACTCTGAATCAGAGTAAAAAGTATGATATCTAGGGCCCTGCCCAACACGCACACAACATCGCGTTCCCAAAGTTCCTGCATAGATAGGTTATCTCACTATATTGTCATGTGTCATTCGATGTATCTTCTGTCCATATTGTCATGGCTTTGTTATTCGGTTATTCCGCGCAACTCTTTTGAACATCTCATAACAGTCGTCTTACCAAATGGGTGAAAACACACTATATAGTGACTTTGCCTTTCCAGTGTACTATTATTAAGTGGTATCGAGCCATTTATTTATTACTCTGCGCTAAAGTGGCACTCTCTCCATGACACGAGCTTTACGAAACCAACCGAGTCTTGAGAGAGACTCGAGAGTCGATACGAGACATTCTTGACTTGACAAAGCTCACGTCTCGTCGCGACTCGCGAGTTCAACCAACCAAGTTCGGTGGCTGGCAACATCCAGCTCATGCAGGTGATGGGATGGGAACGACACTAACCCTTTCACTTCAGTGAACTTGACTCGGCATAACCAGATTTCAGGGTTCAAAATTCCTGTGTTTTGGTGAATCAGCAATTCCCCCGCCAATCAGTCTATCTCGAAACTCTTACAGCCTAACATATATGATGAGTAGGTTTCCAGGTTGAAAATGTAGGTATCTAGAGGAGCTGGATGAGAGAGTCTCTCAGCATTCGTGTTAGGCCTTGCCATGATGAGACATCGACACTAGACGGCCGTACTTTCAAGGTGGCGCAGAAAGACAGACTATATCGACAATTCCCCCTGACGTTTCAAAGCCCAGGCCACAACTGTTGCAGCTCACCTGCACCGTTGGACGACCCCCCGTGATGTCGTGTCGGGGGCAACGCGCAAACAGAAATGCAGTGGGGGCTGAGGGGCGCTTTCCATTCAAACCTTTGTGAGTATACCATCCTCATCAAGATTCAACGGGCCTGCAGCGATGCTCGCCTCTCTGTGGTGGTCGTTTTCGCCAGAGTAACGAAGTCCCTTCCCTTGACATGAAACA